TTCTAACTTTCTTAGCGTCTTGAAATTAGATGGCCTTAGAATGAGATGCCAGGGTCCCCCTTGCGATGAGTTCCATCGGTATTGGGAAGTATTGGGGTGGTCGGATGGGGAACACGGCAAGATCTGAGTTTATAATTTGTAGGGAGATACACTGTGGTGTAGTCAGGAAACTGCATGAAATCTACAAAGAGGGGAGTCAACACAATTCAGCAACATTCAGCATTTCCAGAGGTGGATGTAAGGGCTGATTATTGATAAGAGGTTTCAGTTCCACGAAAGGAGGGCGGTCCCCATTACCTGAGCTTGATGGAAACCGTGTCTTCCAGGTAGAAGTGGGTGTTTAAAATAGATGCTCCCATGTTGTAGGTCAACTCTGGGTTACGAATTGGTCTCCTAGAAGCCTGACTGACTTGGCCCATGTCCTGAACAGATTCATTCACTTCAAACATTTAGCAGGACCCCCCACAACTCGCGGTTTGGTGCTGCTGCTGGCTTCAAGCACCAGTCTGGGGTCTTCGCCCTGAAAAGCAGGGAAGGGAGAACCGCGGGCCCCCTGGACCCGAAGGGATGGAGTCTAGGACAAACGTGAGGCCCCACAGGTTTAAGTAGCCCTGACTTGTTATTAAACTCCCTAGGTGTGCAAAAAGTTTATGCTCTACTACTAATCTCAAGGTTGGGGTTTGGAACCCACCCAGACACTGCAAAAGAAAGGCCTGGCGATCTGCTTTCGTTAAGATTAAAAAAAAGAAAAAAAATCCACTGCTGTGGAGTCTATGCCACTCATAGTGACCCTGTAGTAGGACAGAGTAAACCTGTCTCACATGGCTTCCTAGACTATAAATCTTTACGGAAGTAGGCAGCCACATCTTTCTTCTGCGGACCAGCTGATGGGTTCCAACCGCTGACCTTTCCTTAGCAGCCGAGCGCTTCACCACTGCACCACCAGGGCTCCTGTTAAAATTACAGCTAAGAAAACCCTAAGGGGCAATTCTACTTTGTAACACATGGGGTCGCCACGAATCCTAATCTACTTGACCGTAACAGGTTTTGTTTTTTTACCTTAACGGCTTGCCTCCCGGTGTTTTGAATTATCCCTCTGTCGGGCGCTGGAAGGCCCGCCCCCGTAACATTTCGGGAAGCGGGGTGCGTTTGCGGTGAGGTTTGGGGCCGGGGGGGTAGGCAGATGTGACCTGGCTGGGAAGCTGAGGATCAGAAACCCGACTCCCCAAACCCTCGCCCACGAGTCCAGACGCGGCGGCCTATACAAATGAGCCGGCTGGCCCCTCCCGCCGCGTCTCCAGAAGCGGCGGCCCCGCACGCCGCGCTGGTGTTGGCGCCTCCCGCCCTTCCGGAGACGGAGCTGGAGCTGCCGGCCGCGCCCCAACCCAGCTTCCTGGCTCCGCCCTCCGCTCGCGCCCCTGGCCCCCCGGCAGCTCCTCGGGTGGCGATGGCGGTGCGGCGCGCGCGGGCCGTGCGGGTGCTGGTGGACATGGACTGCGTGCTGGCCGACTTCGAGGGCGGCCTCCTGCGGAGCTTCCGCCGCCGCTTCCCTGCCGACCCGCATGTGCCGCTGGAGGAGCGCCGCGGCTTCCTGGTCTGCGAGCAGTACCGCGCCCTGCGCCCCGACCTGGCGGTAGGAATGAATGAGTGGGACGCAGCGCGGGCGGGGATTCCGGGCCCCACGACGCCGCCGGAGCAGGGAGCCCCGATCCCACAGCCCCACGGCGCCCCCGGGGGCCCGGACCCCAGGTCCCCCAGCACCACCCGGAACCCACGACCCCATGGCGCCCCCGGGAGGGGAGACTGGACCCCACCACCCCACGTCGCCCCCGGAGCGGGGAGCCCTAACGACCCCTACGACGTCCTCGGAAGCGGGGACCCCCCCACCCCCTTGGGCGGACCGTCGCTGTCCCATTTACGGAGACACCCCCTTTCTGTTTGAAATGAACAGTACTCTCGCTTCACAGTTCACCTCCCCGCAACACACACACAAGAAAGTTTGGGAGAGTGCCCCCACTAAGCACAATCCTCTTACACTCTGATGTGGGACGGAAGGGCCTCCAGGAACCTTCTTGTGAGCGTCCTGCTGGGCTAGATCAGCTGGAGGCAGACGAGGGTTGTGTCTTCCAGGATAAAGTGGCCAGTGTGTATGAAGCCCCAGGCTTTTTCCTGGACTTGGAGCCCATCCCTGGGGCCCTGGAAGCCATGCGGGAGATGAAGGACATGGAGGAGTAAGATAGGGTGGGGAGGCAAGGGAGTGACACAGGGTGATGTGGGGGCCCCCTCCATCTAACAGCACCCCTTTCCTGCAGCACCGAGGTCTTCATCTGTACCAGCCCCCTGATGAAGTATGAGCACTGTGTGAGAGAGAAGGTGTGGAGGCCCCCGGCACCTCCTGGGCAAACAGATAGCAGGGGCCAGAGGAGGGGACCAGCCTCTTGGGCTGCAGCTCCCGCTCCCAGCCACGTTCTACCCGCTCACTGGCCCTGAATCCAGACCCCACCAGACCCCACTGACAGTCTCTGCTTCCTGCAGTACCGCTGGGTGGAGAAGCACTTGGGGCCCCAGTTTGTGGAGCGCATTATCCTGACAAGGGACAAGACGGTGGTCTTGGGGGACCTGCTCATTGATGACAAGGACACTATTCAAGGTAGGACCCATTTCCTTGGCAACCTGCATCCAGCCATCTGGATTAGGGAGAAGGAGTAAAGATAACCGGATTCCATGCTCACCACCTTTCTCCCTGATGTGCCCCAGGCCAAGAGAAGACCCCACGCTGGGAGCACATCTTGTTCACCTGCTGCCACAACCAGCACCTGGCCCTGCCCCCCACGAGGAGACGGCTGCTCTCCTGGAGTGACAACTGGAGGGAGATCATAGACAGCAAGCGGGGCACCTCGCTGTAGGACTGCGAGGGCCTGGGGCTCCTCCAGGAACAAGCCAAGGGACCACGGCAGTGGACAGTGGCTGAGGGAAGGGAAGGCAGGCCAGGGGGCATCCCAGCAGTGTCGAGAGACTGGGCATGGAGGGGCGGGGAGACACAGGGACCACTGCTCTCACTGCCCAGCCACTTTCGTGCACTAGAGCGTGGCGGACATGGGAGCACCCTGGGGAAGGTGGTCAAGAACCTTTTAATAAAAATCTTCAGCTCTCTGGTTTCTTAGGGCCCTTTATTTGGGACAGAAAAAGTACAGGAGGTGGGAGGGGCACTGGACCAGGGCTGATGAGGCCTTCCCTCCCTCCCCTTGCTCTCCCGAGTCCAGTGGCTCCGAATCTGCCTGCCTCCGCTCCCACTGAGACATTGTCTTAGTTTCTTAGTGCTGCTGTAACAAACACCACAAGTTGGTGGCTTTAACGAAGAGAGATTTATTCTCCCCATTTAGGAGGCTAGAAGGAGCCTTCTAGGGGAAGGTGCTCTCTCTGTTGGCTCTGGGGGAAGGTCCTTGTCTGTTCCTGGGTTCCTTGGAGATCCCATGTGGCATGGTAGCTCTCTTCCCCCATCTCTGATTGCTTACTTCATCTGCTCTTTTCTGTCTCAGAGAGATTGGTTTAAGACACGCCCTGCACTGATACTGCCTCATTAACATAACAAAGAAAACCCGACTCCCGAATTTAGTAGGATTTACAACACATTTTTGGGGACACAATCCATAACAGAGACCATCCACAATCCGTAACAGAGACCATCCCTCCTCCCTTTCTAAGACGCTTGACCTTTCCTTGGCCATCTCAGGGGCTAACTCTAAGGCAGTGGAGAAGAGGGGTCAGGACCCCTCATTGCTCCCAAGCCCCAGCTTTCTATTGGGTCCCACACAACATGCTGACCAGCAGGGACTCGCTCTCACTAACCCTGATGGCAGAGAGAGCCCTGGGGGTGGTGAGGGGAGAAGACGTGGCTTCACGGGTTCCTGCCTTTATTCTGATGTGTTGTCACCTCTGTGACCTTGGTCTTAATGCCTGATGGCCACATTAACAGTCACTGGGCTGACACACCCTTCCTGCTTCCCAGGGCCCCCGAGATGCTTTTAGCCATGAGACTTCTCATTTCTATCCCTTGAAATCACTCCAGACCCCCTATTCAGGGACGATGCCCTACTCACTGAAGTACAGACAACGCTCCTGAGCCTCCGGTCCCTGGTGCTCCGCCTGAGAAGCCCCTTCTCCGAAGCCTGTGGATCCAGGAACCTGGAGGTTCTATGCTCGGCGGAGCCTGCAGTGGAGTGGGCCTGGGAGGCAGGACCTCAGCCTCCAGTTCGGGGGCGAGCCAGCCCATGAAGTGGCACCACCCTTCATTTTCTTCTGCCAGTGTCACGAAGTCTGGTTCCGCAGGTCTTCTAACGCCTTTTCATCACGCTGGAGACTCCTGTCCTGAGCACTGTGTGAGAGAGAAGGCACCACTCTGGGAGAATGTGCTTGGGGGTGCTGTGCTGGCCCCACTCCTGTGCCCCCACCATGGTTTTATCTCCTGCACGAGGCCCCCCGGGAGCAGGGGTGCTGTGGGCCTCAGTCCTTGGGCAATGGGATGCCCAGGGCAGAGTGCACCCCCCAGCGGTGGGCTTCAGCCACCTGGCTCGGGGAGCAGACGTCTTCCAGGAAGATCTGGGCCAGGTTGCGGAGGCGCGTGTTGGCGGAGAGAGAGAAACGCAGCATGCACTGGACCACAGGCAGGGCGGTCAGCTCAGGGTGGGAGCCGGGGCCCGACGGGCTCAGGTACATGAGTGTGGTGACAGCAGACAGCACCGTCTCCTCGTTGGGGCTGGACAGGCAGTTGATGATGAGTGGGATGCCGCCTGCCTGCAGGATGTGCTCCTTGTTGGCCTTGTCTGCACACAGGTTGCAGAGGCCGCCTGGGGAAGAGAGGGTGAATCTGGAGGCCCCCTCCCTGGGCCTCTTCCTGCCTGCCTCTCCCTCCTCCCTGCCCACTGAGTCCCGGAAGGAAGGGCCCCAGCCTGTCAGAAGTCCACTCATCCCCAGCCCCCCAGCCCTCCTTTTCAGAGTTCCGGAGAGACCTGCCTGCCTGCTGCCCCTCACTCGGCTGAGACCTTCCACAAATCCCTTTGCCGCGTGGTCCAGCCAGTTCAATGGCTGATATGCTTTCCTTTTTTTTAAAGTGAGAAAAACAAGACCCACAAGAGATCATCATTTTAGAGGAGTTTAAAAATAATGGTGAGGTGATGGTTTCACAGGGGTATAACCAAAAACCAAACCCGCTGCCGTCGAGTCGATTCCAACTCATAGCGACCCTATAGGACAGGGGAGAACTACCCCATAGAGTTTCCAAGGAGCGCCTGGTGGATTTGAACTGCTAACCTTTTGGTTAGCAGCCACAGCACTTAACCACTACACCACCAGAATACATTTGTTAAAACATATCCAATTGTGCACTTTAAATATGTACAGCTTATCGTATGTCAATTATACCTCAATAAAGGGTTAAAATATTTATAGAAAGGAGCCAAGATATAAGCCACCTTAATCCTACCACCCAGACATTTAAGATTCCTGCCTTCGTCGTCCCACAGCTTTCTATGTGCGCACAGAAATATTTAGTAGAAATGGGATATTCTCCGTAACTGTTTTGTAAGCCAGCTATTCTCATTTAACAATGTACTGTGACCACAGCTTAACCAGTAAAAAATGTCTGCCTTGAGCATTATGCTCTTTTAAGAACTATCTAGTTGGGATCAATTTGACAACAGCAATTTGAAAGATGAGATAGGAACCTTAGGGGGCAGTGAGTTTATGTTAATGTGGGAGGAACAACTCAGAAAAGGAAGGTGAGAATGGTTGCACAGCACGAAGGATAATCACTGTCGCTGAAATGTACAGCAGAAATTGTTGAAGTGGTGTCTGTTTCGCTGTGTATATTCTCAATATCAACAACAAAAAAATAAAAACACCGTGTATTGTGAACCTCCTTCTATGCCAACAACCTACACTCCTGCCTCACCGAACAGCTTTGCAGTACACCATTTTATAAATGCAGCACCACGGACGGAGAAGTCAGACCATTTTAGCCTCTAGGTTGCTGTGATGAGGATTCTGGGGGACAAACAACAGAAAAGCCCAGGGACAGAGCCCCATGTGCTCAAGCAGTGAGGCCAGGCCCCCCTTTCTCTCACATCTCACCTCTGAGCACTGCCCCCTAATGCCCGGAGGTGACTTCCTGAGCATCCTGACAGCCTCTGGCCACCATGGTCTCTCCACCTTTAGGTTCCATGTGCAGGAAAGCCACATGGCTTCTCAGCTCATTTGCACAATATGCCCAACAAGTCCAATCAGGAGTCACAGCCCCGCCCACTGCCCCAGCCTGAAACCTGACCAGGACATCATACTAAGCAAGGTGGGCAGGTGCCTGTGCTGCCCCTCAGGGGAAGGGGGGTGAGGGGGTGGCGGGGACAGCCCAGCCTTGGCCCTGTGCCCCTCCCTGGCTGCACCTGGCTCAGTGTGAGGCCTGCTACAGGGAAGGCCTGCCATTTGGAACCAAGTCCCCACTCCCTCAGGAAGCCTGCCGGCCCTGCACCATCCTCCTCCACGTCTCTATCCCTCGGTCCAGTCTTAGGACCTTTTGGTACAAGCACTTCCTGCCCCACCTGGCCAGTGTGGGCTTCCCTGAGAGCCCCCGTGTGACTGTCCCCTCCACTCCCAGGGCACTGCCCTGGTCACCGCTTCACTGTCTTCTCTTCACCTATGTTTTCTGGCTACCTGCCTCCCGAGCCCCTCTAAAAGTAAGTACCCTGAGGTCAAGACCTCAGCTGTCTTATTCCTGCCGTGTCCACAGGGGCCTGCGCAGAGACGCCCTACAATATTAGTTGTAAGTGTAAGTGTTTTAAAGTAGCGGCCGACGGGAAAGAGGCTGGGAGGAGTGCAGCGGGCTGGGGCTGCACAGGACGCTGCTGACACCTGCCTGGCCCGCACAGGTAGCTTCTGAAGGAGGGGAGGCTGGGAGTTGGGAGGAGGACGAGCAGCTGGAGGGAGAAGAGGCGCTAAGAGGCCCTCTGGTGCCAAACGGGCGCACTGGGTGCCAGAGAAGGAAATGCCCGCTTGTGGGCCCGTGCTGGGTGCTAGCCACTGTGCTTCACACAGGTTTCCACTGAGTCCCAATCACCCTGAGGCCAGAGCCCCCTTCCTGCATGGCCACCAGGCCCCCTAGGGTCTGTCCCCGCCACCCCTGGCCACCCTCTGGCTAACCGTGGTGCCCTAGCCCTCTGGCCTCCTTTCAGGGCCTCCAAAACACCAAGCTCTTTCTTGCTGGGGGCCTTTGCACTAGCTGTTTCCTCTCCTGGGGTTCTCCTTCCCTTTTCTTTGTACAGCTGCTCCTTCCTCCTCAGGAGTCAGCTGAACCATCCCCTCTCAGCGAGCACCCCCCAGACCACCCACACTCAGAGGCTTTCTCTGCAATCTCGACCAGCGTCCGCCCGGTTCAGCTGTGCAGACCTCAGCACGCCTGGGCTCGTCCTGCAGCTGGCTTCACTAGCCGGCACTCTCCGCGAGGCGGGGCCTCCCTCGCTGGCCTCCGGATCCCAGAACAGTGGACACACACTGAACACATGTTGAACACATGGCTGAACCCAACCAAGCAGGCGTACTGTCACCCCCATCTTAGTGGAGAAGCTGAGGCTCTGAGGGGTTGAGTAACTTGCCCAAAGTCCCAGAGGGGAGCCCGTTGCCACTCCCAGGGGAAACTGAGTCCCTGTGGAGCCAGGAGGACGACTGATGCTCCCAAGGCCAGATGCCAGGCTTGGCCTGGAGCAGGGACCAGCAGGTGGGTTCGTCTGAGCGGGGAGTGGGCAGCTTCCTGCTGCAGTGGAAGTGTGATAAGATGAAGCCATGAGTCACTCACCTAGCCGTGAGTCAGCATCACTGCCCGTGGGGCTGGGTGGGGCTGGATCAGCAGATGGCATCTGCTGGGGGCTGGGGGGAGGAGGAGGCCTCACGACTGGCTCCTGCACCCCTGGTTCAGAGGCCTGGAAGCCTCCCAGATGGAGCAGGTGCCCTGCCAGAGCTCACCTCAGCCGCAGGGGCGTTCTTTAAGCCCCTCTTAAGCCTCTCAGAGATTAAAAGGGGAGCGAGAACCTGGGAAGGGAACAGCAGAGAGCTTCAGGGGCAAGGTGAGAAGGCTGGGCTGGAGCCGCCAAGATGGCGCCAGAACCTGCAAGAGGCCTCAGCTGCTTTAAGCTTTCCCCAAGTCCCCCTCAGGTAGCCTGCCTGAAGAAGCAAGAAGGGCTGGGAAAACCATCTACACAAAACTGGAAGCATCCTAAAGTGCCCAACCACAGCACACTGTTAAAAACAAAAAAGGAGAACAAGTCCTGACTGGCTGATGAGCAGCTTTGAACAACCCGAGCAAGACAAGAGAAACAGAATGGGAGGAAATGGCAGGGCCCCTCTAGACGCCAAGATCCACGGAAGCCCCCAGGAGGGGCAACAGAGGAAACTCCAAGTGCGGCCTGGATGAGAAAGCTGGGGGCTCAGAGAGGGCAGGGTCTGAGGATTGTCTGGGGGTTATGAGGCCATGTTGACAAGTGCTTAGCCGGCACCCAGCAGCCAGGCAAACCCTAAAAAGGCGGCCCAGACATGACTACACCCGAGGCCCGCCCACCCACCGCGGCCCAGCCCAGGATCAAAATCCTCATTTGACTTAAGCATCTTGAAAAAAGTTCCTTCTGAAATTTCAAGTAGGAGGGGCAAAATAGTCTCTAGAGAAAGCTGCTGGGAATCTCTTTTTGCAGCAGAAGGCTGTGTGAGCCCAGAGCCTGGCCATAGAGTGAGGGCAGGAGGGCCGGGGGAGCACACGGCACAGCGGACGGAGCGAGGCTCCAGGGCGGGCAGATCTTCTTGAAATCCCAGTTCTGCTACTGAGGACCTACGTGACTCAGAGCTAGCCACTCAGCTTCCGTAAGCCTCAGTTTCTTCATCAGTAAAATGGGCAAAGAGAATTAAAAAAACAATCCCCATTGCCTTTGAGTTAATTCAGGCTCAAAGCGACACTACAGGACAGAGCAGAAGCGCCTCATAGGCTGTAATCTTTACGGAAGCAGATTGCCACATCTTTCTCCCATGGAGCTTTTGGCTAGCGGCTGAGCATTTAACCACTGCATCACCAGGGCTCCTAGAGAGAATTAAATAATGTAATTGAGGCATCTCCGCGGCACACAGTAGACACTTGATGGATATTAACTGTCTTGTACCATTCATGTGACATCTGGTACACATTCCTTTGTATGCGACTGAATTTCACCTCCCTGACCAGACTGTGAACTCCTGGAAGGTAGGGGTCAATCACGTATCTCTTCATAGCCCCAGAGACTGGCAGAGGCCCGCACAAGCAGAAAAGGGCTGACATATACAGGCTGAGCTCAACGATGATAAAGCAAACGCCTGTGTAACCACCACCGAGGTCAAGAACAAAAACTGCTGGCAATCCGGAACCCCTCTATGTTGCTTCGTGAGAGCCTCTCCCTCTCTCCTACCTGCAGAGGTGAACATCTTCCTCATTCCTAATAATTTCATAATTTTTAAATGAATTATTTGCCAGAGCGGCCTCTACCATCTCTCCTTGACTTGAAGGACTAATTTTCCCTTGCCTTAATTCTAGATATAAGCAGGGCCTTTCTAAAATTTAACTAATTTTTTTTTTTACTACACACACACATATCTAAATATTATACAGTTGAGTTCTGCCTTTTATTGGATTTTATAGTAATGAAATCACAATGTTTGCTTAACACCATGGTTGTAAGATTAATCTATTCCATGTAGCTGGAGATTGTTCATTTTCATTACTAAATATTGTATGAACGATCTGGTGTCGGTATCCATGGTTGCCAGCTTGGGACAGTTACAG